TCATGTTTCTATCCTAAAAGACTAGTCATCAAACAAAGCAAGCTGACTTGCCCACTTCTAGAGGTGAGAAAAGGTCATGACACTCCGATGCTCACATTCATTATAAATCACAAATTCTTATTTCTAACATCTATTTCTGGATTCAGTGGTACAAATTAGGTACAAACCTTCCTCTCCCAAGAGAAAGTTTGAAGCAGAAAATAGGGGAGGGGAGATGGGAACAAAACTCAAACCCAGTCCCAGAAAATGGAATCCATAAACTGTACTTTGTTGGGACAATTGTGTATATTAATAGACAGCCCAAGATCTTAAAATTCCAGAAGGCTCCTATGAGGTGATATGCTCCTTCAAATAGCTTGGACCCTAGCTGTACAGGGGCATTATAGGTAATAACCACCACTTTGAATTGGGTTCCAGAAACAGCCTGGAAGCCAGTGAAGCTGTTCTAATAAGGGAGTTACATGCTCCCTATAACCAGTGCCAGTCAGCAGTCTGGCTACAGCATTTCAAACACTCTTCAAAGGCAGCCCCGTGTAGAATGTGTTGCTGTAATCCAGAAGATGTGTAATAAGGCATGTGTCGCCATGGCCAGATCAGACATCTCAAGGAACCGGGCTCAGCTGGCACACGAGCTTTATCTATGCAAATGCTCTCCTGGCGACCACTGAGACCTGAGGATCCAAGCTCAGGGTTGCGTCTAGGAGCACACGCAAGCTGCGAACCTGATTTTTCAGAAGGAGTGTAACCTCATCCAGTATAGGCTGAATCCCTATCCCCTGATTTGCCTTGTGGCTAAGCAGGAGCTCCTCTGTCTTGTCTGGATTAAGCTTCAGTTTGTTCTCTCCCATCCAGTCCATCACTGACAACAGGCACTGGCCTAAGCACAGAACAGTCTTGACAATAGCTTTTTAATATGAAACAGATTCACTACATAGAGGCCACCCTAGCATTTTAAACTATTTCCAGATTCACAACAGTGCACACAAAAAATGTTAACTGCTGGATATTTTTAGAAGAAAAATTAAGAATTATATTGCATTCTGAAAAAAAAATATTCACTGCACATTCTTCTGATGCTGTATTTCCCTTCATCAACTGCTACTGGTTAGACTATGAGAGCATGCTAGGCATGTTCAGGAAGAATCTAAGTAGCTGACCTTTTCCTGTGACATCTCTAAATGTTGTTGGAGTCCTGTCTCCCATCAGTCTCAGCCACTAATGATCAGAAAGGGTTGTCTATAACATCTGAATAACTACTAGCCCCTCATCCCTTCCATAGAATATTGCAATTAGTGGCACAAGGGCCTGTTGTCTTTCTAACCCTTATTCACCAGGATAAAAAAATATTAATTAGACCAGGGCTGGTACCTCTCTGAATGGCACTCACCAAAGTTTCATTCAAACATCAGCATTAGGGAACACTGGCTGAAATCCTGTAACACAGCTCCATGTGCACAGTGGGACAACACCAGCAACAGTAGCAAATCACTGCTAATTACAGGTTATTTTGTGACTCATACACAATATGAAAAAATTGTGTGCACCCCAAATCACCAAAAAAAAGCATTTAATCAGATCTAATTTGCCACTCATGATGACATCATTCCTGTTGCATATGCAGAGCTGCACAACAGGATCTGACCCATTCAGTGAGAATGCTGAAGGAAGGTTCTAGTTCACATGGAGAGCCATCACAGACAGCACAAGTGCTTCTATTCACATTTGTCACTCCATATGCATTCAGGACAATGGAAGATATGAACCGGGGGGGGGGTAGGGCTAGAGCATGCCTCCTGAATACATGATGAATATTCCCAAATATTAACATTTGAAAGAAGAGAAGACTGCTCTAACTAAGCCTTATACTTCAATGTCCTAATTTCTGAAGAAACACAGTTGACCATTCAAGTAGCAAACATAATTTTCCACTAACCTAGAACTATTTAATTTACTGACACATTTTTTTAAAAAATGGTGCTTCCTTTTTTTAACTCACATGTTCTGGTTTAATTCTGTATACAGAGTATGGACTGACATTGCCTAGCTTACCACTTCTCATTTACACTTCTCACCTTCAGGTGAACCATATGATACTCATACTCAAACTGCAAGCATTAGATTGGCTTTGTTCCTCTTCCTCATTCCAGCTGCTAAGTTACAATCTCAGCTTGAGGCCAATAGAGGTATACTGCATTCGTGTCATTTAAAAAATGACCAGCAACTACCAATTCTGAGCAGACCAGCACAAAGGTTTTAGAACTGGACAGGTTTTTGTTGTGTGGTTTTTTGTTTTTTGTTTTTTTGATATAATTTAACCTCCATGAAAGAACATATTGAATGGGAGTCAGTCCCGCATTTACATTGACAACCCCTGTAGTGTTTTTAAAAAAACAAACTCATTTGACATAACTAAGTAGCAGAGTTTGGGGTTATTCAGCAGACTTTGGAACACAAGAGGAGCCAAGTGATGCAAAGAATATTCATTCAGTTTGCTGTTCTTAATTGTGTAAGGTGTCTCGATGGGACAAGAGGCCCAGATGAAGAATTTAAAGTGCCACAAGATTCCCTGCCTCCAGTGCAAGATCAAGACTAAAACTGTCCCCCCCTTCAGGGTTTCTGAAAAAATGCAAAATACCCCTGTAGAGATAAATGCAAAAACTTGTGTCCACTCCCTTAAAGAAGCAGAACAAACCCCTACACTCACCTACATACTTAGAGAATCACAGAAGGATGACCTGATAGTTTAAAAAGACACAAACAGCACAACTGAGTCTTCAGATTTTGAAAGCAGCAAGGAGAAAGTACCAATGCCCAAGCAACTGGGAGCTGTGTCACCAACATGGGACAATAGGTTCCTCAGCATTTTTAAAATGAATGTAATGCTGTATGTCATGCTACCTCATGGAAACCTCCCCTCCCATTGGGCCTTCTCCTCTTCACTAGGTGTCCTATGTTATTCTTGCTGACTATGCTGGGATTTGAGGTCTATATTCTTCAGTGGGGAGATTTTTTATGTAAGCACTGAGCCATCTTGGCTCTGGCTTTCCCCTGTCCCAAGGTTCTTTGCTGTAAGCCTAAAGGTAGGGGAAGACAAAGATATCAGATATAGCTTGCAGAACTGGGAAAATGCAGCTCTGTCTCTTCTGCTAGAAGCAGGTGTGTCAGGCTGTGTTTTTCCTGATCTTGCTGTCAAGGATTTGTTCAGGGTGCTTGCATCTAAAATATCATAAAAGCTTTCTAAAGGGATTTGACCTTCCTTCTTTTCTTCCTCCCCTCCATTTTTGATACTCTATTTGAAGACATTCTCTCTTCTGAAATTAAGTATGATTGAACTGGAATTTCAAGACATTTCCACTCTCTTTATGGGGTGACTTACTTTGGCAGTATCATGTTCACTGTTCCATATGTCTAGCAAGACTCTGGATGGCAATCAGTATAAAATCAAGGGTCATTTCCCCTCTTCTCAGCTCAGTGACTAACTGATCTAAGTCATGATAATTTCTCATATCAAGAAATTTTATGTCTTTGTGATGCTAAGAATGTGCATTTACTCAAACAAGGCAGAGTTAACTGAAAGTTCAGCATTATATATTTTAACCGTGTCCCTGTTTTTCTTCATCACCAAATTAGTGTTGATTAGGGAAGAGACAGAATTTCCCAAGAGACGTACAGTATCATCTTTTTGACCAGGGATGTCTACCCACAGTGATGCTGGGACTGACCTAATTCTCTCTGTGAAAAAGTCACTGTCCTTTTGTTATGAAGAGCAGTTAACACTAGCAGCCAACCTTGTTCTTCCTTCAGGTTTTATTCCACTGATTATCACAGATCCTAAGATTTCATATTTCTGTTCTTTCCTAGCACTACGTGTTCAAACTCATGTAGCTATAAACATTTTACATGCAGAAAGCTTTGATGCAGCATGCTATTTCCTCATGCCTTTCTTACGGCATGGTCAGATCGGGGCAATAACATTATGTCATGTTATTCTTAAGCTCATTTTATTTTGTCTTGCCTTTCCTGGCCTGTATCTGTATTGGCATCTCTTTTCTTTCACCTATGAGCCATCAACGTGAGCCACAGTGTAGGGACAAACTTCACTAGGGTATTGATTCACCAGTATTCTAATTTTTATTATATTTCACAAGGTCTTCCATTATACTGAATGTTAGCAGGCTCCTCAGTCATGGATCTAGCACAGCTTTCACCCAAAATATGACTAAATATTGTTATGCCACCAAGCAATAACTAACTTACATGAGACTATAAACACGACCCTGTAAACTTTGTAAAAACAAACAGCAGCAACCAGGAATTAAGCAAAGTGGGGAACTTGAGATAAAAGAGATTGGAAGTGTAATTTCCATAACATCTTACAATTTTAAAAGCATCCCACAGTCTTAACGGACAAAGTCATTACTGGTCAGCAATCAATGAAGGCTAAAGAAATTAAGATTCTCCAAATCAGAATAACTGCTTTGGAATATACACTCTCTTGAAGTGCTTCCGTTTTTTAGCCCTGTCTCTTGCAGTATAAGCAACACATGCCTCAAGAGCTATGTCTAAAAATCATAGTTGGGCAATTTAACTGGACTTCATTGTGGACAAGCAGAAAGACTATTTATATTCATTAAAAGTTGGCAAGCTCTGTCTTTCAAACCAATAGTCCAGACACAAAGACTCCACTTAAAATTGGTTCTGCTTTTTGCTGTCTTTAAAGCAGCTTTGGAATGAATTTATCTGTATAAATCTGAAGGACACAGAGGATTGTTAAAATAGTACATTAACAATCTGTTCACCAGTGCTGGAAGTATATTCTTGTTCTGCTTCTTTACATTCTCTGTTTAAAGATAATGAAACAAGCCTATGTTTAACAAAACAGAAAAACAACAAAAAACAAAAACGTAAATATACTATAATTAACTCTAAGCCAATAGTGCACATTACAGGAAAATGTAAATGTGGCATCATAACACAAAAATAATTTTTTATATACTCACCATTTGAGATTGGCTTCGAGGGCAGCCATTGATATCTTCAACCTTTTCATTTGCTGAAGAAAAAAACAGTAAGGGTTAAAAGGGTTGGCAATAAACACCAGAAAGTAAGAAAGGCACACTGAGTATTCTGTAGATCATGAAATGTCAGGCTGAAGCCTTACAGTAACAATCTATCTTGTTAGCAGCCCTTCCCTCCCCATGCAAAAATCAGGCAAAAGAAAAGTGTAAAGGAGGTTGCTACTAATTCTCCAGCTCCTGCCAAATGACTGCTGACATGAAGTCTTCCACAATTGTCTTTGTGGGATCAGGATACAGTTTCAAGTCATTGCAGAAAGTATAAACCACTGCAGCTAATAAAATGCACACATTGGAGACATATGGCTTAATGAAGCATTCATTTCAGACAACGCCAAGTGTGTGAAACATAGTGCTCTGGTCATTTAAAAAATTGTGAAGCAGACAGTTCAAAATGCACACACACACACACACACACACACACACACACACACACCTTTTCTTGGTATTGTAAAAATAAGTAATAAAAAAGCAGAAGTGCACATCCGGAAGATAAGAGGCTGCATCAAGTTTCTCTATGAGAGCCCATCTCAAAGTTAAATCAGCTCTACCTCTCTTTGGTTTTCCCTCCAGAAGACAGAGTGTGCTGTGGCTACAAGTACAGGTCTTACCGATGATCTGGATGATTTCTGCTAGCAGAACTCCATCTGCAATGTCCTGTTGCAGGTCCTTGATCAGCCGCTTGTGGCCAGATTTTGCTAGATAATGGTTAGCCCAGTCAGTGTAAATCTGCAGAATAGATGGAGAAGTGGAGAAAGAAAGAGAGACAATAAAAATTCTTAAGTCAAATGCTGGCTTCTACATGAGCAGAGCTCTGAAGAACATTCCAGTTTAAGGAGTCGGGGGGGGGGAAAGATCTGAAAAAACTAAACATATTTCAAAAAGTTTGTCCCTGTGCCATTTTTTTAACTTCAACCTTGAATGAATCATTTTATTACACAATGAAACATCAAGTCACTGTGACAAAGCAAAAACCCCTTTAGGACTGCCAAGAAAACTCCTGTCAAAAATCAGTTTCAGTTTAATCTGATTCACAGAAATAGACTAAGATTGAAAACCACATCAGACATTTTCTTCTTTTATGTTTTGTATGTTATGTTCCCACTTCCTTTATTGTTACTTTTTAGAAGTATATAATTCTGAAAAATGTATTTCCAGTTTCCTCCTGCAGTTCTGCTGTATTTAACGTTTTAGTGCTATATAGGAGCAAACAGGAAGCCAACGAACAGAAGCACATTCACAGGTATCTTCTAACAATTTTTTCTGACAAAACTTATTTGAACTTAAATGTATGTATAAATATTGCATGTCTACAGCATATCTATTTGACAGCTATCTGTGCTTCCAGAAAGCAATCTAGCTATAATGGCTGCTGCCTATGTAGAGGATGTAAAGGATATGTACCTTTTAATAATATGCCAACGAACAGAAGCACATTCACAGGTATCTTCTAACAATTTTTTCTGACAAAACTTATTTGAACTTAAATGTATGTATAAATATTGCATGTCTACAGCATATCTATTTGACAGCTATCTGTGCTTCCAGAAAGCAATCTAGCTATAATGGCTGCTGCCTATGTAGAGGATGTAAAGGATATGTACCTTTTAATAATATAATATAATATAATATAATATAATATAATATAATATAATATAATATAATATAATATAATATAATAAATCAACAAACAAACAAACTTATTTTTCCATCAAGAAACAACCAGCAAAGGATGGCTTGTGGGTTTCCTAGAATCACACGAAAGAAAAGGTGGACAAAAAGTGAAAGAAGGCTCAAATCATCTGAGCATAGGGAATACAGGATTTTGAGTGCTGTAGATATCCATTCTTGGTAAGTAATATATATTTATAGCGATTGTGTGTATACTCAAACTGACCTGTTTAGCCACACAGAGTTTCAATGCAAAGAAGGAATGTTGTTGTTGTTGTTTAGTCGTTAACTTGTGTCCGACTCTTCGTGACCCCATGGACCAAAGATTGCCAGGGCCTTCTGTATTCCACAAGTTTGGTCAAATTCATGTTGGTAGTGTATACTCGACCTGTTTAGCCACACAGAGTTTCAATGCAAAGAAGGAATGTTGTTGTTGTTGTTTAGTCGTTAACTTGTGTCCGACTCTTCGTGACCCCATGGACCAAAGATTGCCAGGCCAGGGCGTTCTCATGAGCAAAGTATTGGAGCCTCAGCTTCAGGATCTGTCCTTCCAGTGAGCACTCTGGGTTGATTTCCTTCAGAATTGACAGGTTTGTTCTCCTTGCAGTCCAGGGGACTCTCAAGTCAAGACTCCAGCACCACAATTCAAAGGCATCAATTCTTCAGCGGTCAGCTTTCTTTATGGTCCAGCTCTCACTTCCATACATCACTACAGGAAAAACCATAGCTTTGACTATGCAGACCTTTTTCGGCAAGGTGATGTCTCTGCTTTTTAAGATGCTGTCTATGTTTCTCATCGCTTTCCTCCCAAGAAGCAGGCGTCTTTTAATTTTGTTGCTGTCACCATCTGCAGTGATCATGGAGCCCAAGAAAGTAAAATCTGTCACTGCCTCCATATCTTCCCCTTCTATTTGCCAGGAGGTGATGAGACCAGTGGCCATGGTCTTATTTTTTTTGATGTTGAGCTTCAGACCATTTTTTGCGCTCTCATCTTTCACCCTCATTAAGAGGTTCTTTAATTTCTCCTCACTTTCTGCCATCAGACCGGTATCATCTGCATATCTGAGGTTATTGATATTTCTTCCGGAAATCTTAATTCCGGTTTGGAATTGCTCCAGTCCTGCCTTTCACATGATGTATTCTGCATAAAAGTTAAATAAGCAGGGAGACAATATACAGCCTTGTCGTACTCCTTTCCCAATTTTGAACCAATCAGTTGTTC